AATTGTATGGCTAAAAATCTATAGAGAGTCATCCAGGTCATGGTTGTCCCAAAGGTAACTGGACTTTCTTGTTTTTTTTCTTTTGAAGACATTTCACTTCTCATTCAAGAAGCTTCTTCAGCTCTGACTGGATGGTGGGGAATGGAAAGATTTACATTCCTTGCACACATCTGGACATTTGCATCTTTTTAGAGGGGCCCATTACCCACTATCCCCTCAGAGCTGAAGAAGCTTCTTGGGTGAGAAGTGAAACATTTTCAAAAGAAAAAAAATAAGAAAGTCCAGTTGCCTCCTGAAACAGCATCTTTGGTACTATCATACTGGTAGCAAGAGTTATGCATTAAATTCAGAAGACACTTGGCTTATGACAGGGATGTCATATGGCTCACATGTTCCAAGTTTCCCTAACATCCTTTTTCTATATCAAACAACATGGGAAGAGCTGATAATACAGCAGTCCTCAAGTTATGATGATAATTGAGCCCAAGATTTTTGGTGTTAAGTGAATTTTCCCCCATTTTATGACTTTTGTTGTAAAATGTTATTAAGTGAATCAGGTTTCCCCATTGAATTTGCTTGTCAGAAGGTCGCAAAAGGGGATCACACGATTCCAGGACACTGCAACCGTCATAAATGTGAGTCAGTTGTCAAGCATCCAAATGTACATCACATTACCATGGGGATGCTACAACTGTCATAAGTGTGAAAAATGGTCATAAGTCACTTTTTTCACTATCATAATTTTGAATGGTCAGTAAACAAATTGTTATAAGTCGAGGACTACCTTTATTTTGTTTGTTTTGCATTTGGGGCTGTGTTTGACCCCTGAAAACCTCTGAACTTCTGTCCCCAAATAGGCCTTAATTATGCCCACTTTTGATATATCTTGGCATGTGATGTAAAAACTGGCCTTTGAACCAACAGAAGATGCATTTGTGGCTGGTTTATGAGGATGAAATTGGGGTGGGGGGGGCAGATGGTTCACACAATTTAATGCATGGTGAAACCTTTCTTCATTAAGAAAGCTCATATTTGGAACCAAATCAACCTGATTTGAACTTTCTAGCCCAATAGACAGGTTGGAATACTTGTCCAATAATGTTCTTTGGCAGTACATTCCATGAATTAATTATGGGTCGTGTGACACTGTTTCTTTTGTCCGTCCTGAATCTCCTGTCATTGGATGACCCCTTAGTTCTCGGTATTATGGAAAGGGGGAGAATCTGCTCTATCTACTTGCTCCACACCATTCTTTAATTTTCAGTTTTATTGTGTGTCCTCTTAGGAGAATCAAAGTTTCCCAGCCTCTCTCTCTCAGGAGTGCCATTTCTGGGTGGAATTGTTGACCCCAATTGTACTTCAGCCAGTTTGTGATTATTCTGCAGGAACACAAGAATGTGTCCCACTTTTTTTATTCTTCATACTGGTGGTAGATTGTTATTTAAAATTAACTGGCTTTGTATGCCAAGCAAATAAAGGGAGGAGAGAGAGGGGAAGGAAGAGGAGGGGGAAGAGGAGGAAGGAGAAGGAAGAGGGAGGAGGAGGAGGAGGAGAAGAAAGAAAAGAAGACACATGATACTAGGTTCTTGGAACCCAAATCAATGCAAAATGCCCAATCTAAAAATTACGGATTTTGTTGGACGAATAGACAATAATAATAATGTAACTATAACAATGTAGAACAAATAATGCTGCTACATTAAAATTAAAAATATAAAACCTGCTGAATCAAGATTTAGGGATGTTTGGAATCTTTCATCTCACTATAATCCTGCACAACCAAAGGACTCTATTGGAATTCACTAACCTTAGAAATGGGATCACTGAAAACTAAGTTCATCAATAAAGATTCACATATAAAAGTTGTCTTCATGCAATTTTTGGACAACGTCCCCTTGTCTTTCAACCTCCATTACCTGCACAATCACCTACCTCTTTCAAGCAATTTCTATGTAGCACTTTAGAGGGATAGAGGGGAGGCTGTGAAAAAGTGGCTCAATCTCATTCCAAAGATGGTATATAAAATGCAAAGGGAGTAAATGCACCTGATGTAAACAACTATTTTCAATTCACAGTTGAATGCACCTGTCAGCAGCCTTTCAAACTATGCTAAAAGAAACCCTCTATCTTCTTCCATCTACCCCCTTGGGCTTTCACTGAAATCTGGGCAAGCCTTTTGCTTTCCGTTTTGAAAAAAAAAGAAGACTATAAATAATGACATGCTTCACATTTGAGAAAAAGAATGGATTTTTGGAACAGACGAAAAGTGCAAGCCTATGCAAAACTCTACTCAGCAGTAATGAGTCTCACTGAGTTCAAGGGGCTGACTCCTAGTAAATAAGATGATATAGGAATGTAACCTAGATTCCAAATAAATATCCAATGGTATCAACTGAACAGAAATAAGGACTAATAGAGACAGTGTGGTGCAGTGGTTAAGGTGTCAGGCTAAAAAGTGAATAACCTTCAGCCAGTCACTGTCACTTAGCCCTAGAAAGATGGCAAATCACATCTAAAATCTTGCCAAGCAAAGTCCAGGCAATGACCAGTGTTCAAAACAGATGCAAAGGTGATGACGAATGACACACATCACTCATCAATAAGCTATCTATTAGACTCTAATTCTGAGCACATTATTTATTTATTTATTAAATATAATATGTTGCCCATCTCACTATCCAAATCAACTCTGGGCAGCATATATAAATTAAATAAATAAAACTTCTCAGAATTGCAATATAACAGCACTAACACCGTGGCAGGATCCTGAGTAGTTGCAGGAATGTGGCCTGTGCTTTTTACTCATGTCTCCAGTCTTGGTTGAAGTTTCCCTGCAGCATCCTTAGAAATAGGGAAGACAAGTTACACATAGAGAAATATGGGGGACACATAAACCAGTTAGTCTGAGGTACAGCCAGAAGCAGACTGACTCCCCAATATCTCTCAGTTCCCGTCAGTGGGGTATAATACTTAAAGCAGGGGAATGGTTCCCAAGAATTACTCACCCACTTCTTGGCAGTAGGTTCAATACTTAAAGCATGGGAGTAGAACTAGGCAGACTAGCTAACTTAGGCCCAATTGGTCTCTTTCATCCCCCCTATTGCAGAAGGTTATTTTGGTGTACAGGAACAGGAGAGATAAAAGAGAGCAAGTTAGTCACGGTGGCACAGTGGTTAGAGTGCAGTACTGCCGGCTGCCTCAATTTGGCAGTTCAAATCTCAACCAGGCTCAAGATTGACTCAGATGGGTAAAATGAGGACCCAAATTGTAAACCACTTAGAGAGGGCTGCAAAGCGATGTAAAGCAGTATATGAGTCTAAATGCTATTGCTAGTCTCCCTAGTTCCACTCTCATGCACCCACTAGCAGGAACTGGCTGAGTGATTCTTGGGAGCCAGTCTGAAACCCCAGCTATATCATCAAACAAACTGGTTCACGTCTTCTCCATATTTCTCTGTGTAACTTACCTTCCCTATTTCTGGAGTACTACACAAACTTTCTCCAGTTGTTGCAAGAAAGAAGGGATCTAACACTGAAAAAAGGCATGTGGGAGGCCACCGGTGCCTGAGCTGCTTGTCACAATTCCCCTTTTTACTTTGCAATTTCCATAAACCCTTTCGCTTCAGAAGACAGCCAGCTGCACACTGTAGTGAGGGGGGGAGGGGAGTCGAAGTCCACAAGTCTTAAAGCTGCCAAGTTTGCAGACTCCTGATCTAGAATGATGCTTAATTTGGGGGATTTCTCTCTTTGCCATGTATTGTTCCTTCTGTCGCCAGCCTTGATTACCTCCAAGCAGTATCTCAGCCTGTGCTCTCTATATGGCCATCCACCAGTGGCAGATTAAAGCTCACTGGTACCCCAAGCATTGACAAATCTTGGTGCCCCCATCCTTTGTACATACTGTACAAAACTTCATTGGTGTTTTTCTTTCTTTCTCAACTTTGTGGTGCCCCCTTTGGGCCTGGTGCCCTAAGCACGTGCTTAGTCTGCTTAATAGTTAATACACCACTGCCATCCACCATCTATCTATCTACCTGACCTGGAAGTCCCATCCCCCCCCCACTTTGTCCGGGAGCCAAAGCAGGTGATCTCCGTCGCCAGCTGAAAGCGCCGCGGTTCCTCCTCCTTTGGGCACGCCCTCGCCTCTCCGCCTTTTTGAAGCCAGCGAGCGAGGAGGCGCGTTCAGCTCGAGGAATTCAGAGGGAAAATTCCTTGCAGCCCTGAGAATTCCTTACAGCCCCCTGTACCCGGGGTGGGAGAGGGCCGGCCGGGGAAGGAATCACCCGCACCTCCCTCCTTCCCTCCCGAGTCCCGACTCAGCATCCCGATCTGTTCCGAGTGTTTCGGAGGGGAAAGTATGGATTGGATCTTTGGTGTGCAAGCCCCAAACCCTGCAGAGCGAGCGAGAATCCCCCCGCCCTCAGTGCTGCATCTCCTGGGTTGTCTTGCCTTAAATCCGTCCAGAAATAGCGGCCCCCGTTTTACTGACTACCCTTCGGAGCAACCGAAAATCAAACCAAATGCGGGCTTCTCCATAAACCCTCCCGTCCTTCCAGCCCTTTCGCGGAGCATTCCAGTTCGCGAAAATCCATAGGAATTCTGCAGATCTACGATCTTCTTGGACGGGAGGCAAGGGGGAGCTGTATGGAGGCGGGCAGCGGGGGAGAGAAGCAAGTCCCAGAAGAAACTCAGCGCAAAGGGAGTAGAAAACACCTATTCCTCTTTCCACACCTATTTCTCTTACATTTAATGTGGAAAAATCACTCCCCAATTCGTATACCTCAGAAGTATGACGGGGACCCGGGTCAGGGTGGGGAAAATCCTCTGGGACAAATTGAAATTGAATGAAACTGACTACTAAACGACCTAGAAGCAAAGAAGGAGAAAATGGGTAAGAAACACCAAAGCAGCCTTTATGGGAAGGTGTAACCTAATACCTGATTCCCGAGGGATTTGCAAAAGACCCGGGAAGAACGCGCAAACAAAACGAAGATGCCTTACTTATGTCTCGCCAGGGGCTTCTCCGGAGTGAGTTGAGGGCTAGATCCCGAGGTGTAGAGGTTGTATCGGTTGCCGTAGGAGATAGGCAGAGGGTGGCGGTAATACGTCCCTTTGGCCTCGGTCAGGCAAACCAGCGTCCCAGCGCAGAGCAAAGAGACTGAGGCGCCAAAGGCAACTGCTCTGGAGAAGCCCTTCGCCCGAGTCATGATTGCGCGGTCAACTTTCTCCCAAAGGTCCGCTGAAGGGAGCCCGCTCTCGGCTTTCCAGTCTGGAGGGGCAGAAGGTCTCTCCGGAGAGAAGGTGGGCTGCGATTTGCTCTTCCCAAAGCCCTTGACGAAATAAGAAGAGGAGGGGGGATTCTTTGCCTCTCAAGAGAGACTCAGGCGAGGGGATCTCTGCCCAGGGGAGGGAGGAAAGCGCGCTCTCCGCTGGCGCTGGAGCTACTAGTTCCAGTTCAACGCTCTTTTGTACCTTTCCTTGCCATTCACTTTTCTCCAGGCTGCTCGGGTCCCTAGTACGGCAGGGAAGAGGGGCGGGACCCCCTCTCTCTCTCACTCTCTCTCTCTGGATTAGCATAATACTCTTTCCATCATCTCCTACAGCCGATTGGCCTTCGAAATGTTGGCCTAGCCAATCCGGGTGCAATCCCCCCGCAGGGCTGCATCAGACACTATCTTTAAAACCGAAGGAGAAAGGAGGAAAGGGGAAAGAGAGGAAAGGAAAGAGGAAGGAAAATGGGTTGGGTGATGGTTGGGTTGGCCAGCAGGGAAAGAGGAAAACAAAACCAAGGGATGAGTGAACCAGATGAAGGAAAAAGGTCTATGAAAAGAGGAGAGAGAGGAGGTGCAAGATTCAAGAATGCCACCTTCCAGGAATGTTGGTGGGAGGTGACCGATTCTCATCTTCATAAACCGCTGGGCATCCCTGTACATCAAGCAGTTTACAGACACATGGAGTTGTCGTAGCTGCAGTCCACAAGAATGTACATAACTGCATATTTCACTTTTGGATAATCGCAATTTAGGTTTTTTTTTTTTTAAAGAGAAAAGTAGCAGCTCCAAGGCAAGGAAACAGATTGAAGTTTATGGTCCATCAACTGCTGTAAGGGTGTTTAGTATAGAGTTTATCATACAAACGTGCAGGTACAGTAGAAGACCTGATTCATTCAGACCATTTTATGGAACATAAATAGTACTTTAGCCAAGTTGAAAAACTCAGTGTTAAATGAGCAACTTTGAATTTGCTGATTATATTCACTAATTATATTCATTATATTAACTATTTACTAAGCCTGCATTACTATTACTATTAGTCTTCTCATTGTTCCTATCACCCATCTCCTCCCACTTATGACTGCAAGACTGAAACTTTGTTGCTTGTATCCTTAGGATTTAAATTGATATTAATTTTTTCCTGATTGCTTATTTGTACCCTATGACTATCATTAAGGGTTGTAGCTTGGGTTGAGTTGGGTGATGGTTGGGTTAACCGGGAATCAACCGGGTTGACAAATGTATCTTGTCTTTTTATGTACACTGAGAGCATATGCACCAAAGACAAATTCCAAGTGTGACCAATCACACTTGGCCAATAAAGAATTCTATTCTATTCTATTCTATTCTATTCTATTCTATTCTATTCTATTCTATTCTATTCTATTCTATT